CTCATACAAGTACCATAATGCAATCTCTTTGTTGTGAAATTGCAATTTACAAATGTAGGGTTTTTTTAATTACATAATTGCACTCAAAAACAATGTAAAACTTTAGAGCCTACAAGTCCACTCAATCCTACTACTTATTCAGCCAATCAAATTTGTTTATATTTACGAGAGATAATGCTGCCCGCTTCTTATTTACAACATCATCTGAAAGTGAGAACAGGAGTTCGCATGGCACTGTTATAGCCGGCATTGCAAGACATTTACGTGACAGATATGCTCAACATTTGTATGCCCCTTCATGCTTCGGCCACCATCCCAGAGGACATGTTTCCATGCCGATGACGCTTGTTAAAAAAATAACGAGTTAATTAAATTTTGACTGAACTCCTTGAGGAAGAACAGTATGTCTCTTGCTCTGTTTTACCTGCATTCTGCCACGTATTTCGTATTATAGCAGTCTCAGATGATGACCCAGCACACGTTGTTCATGTTAAGAACACTTTCACTGCAGGATCTGACAAAACGCAAGGAAGGTACCAATGTGAGATTTCTAAAGATAGCTACAGCACTTGACCAATGTTTAAGAATCTGAAGTGCCTTCCAAAATCTGAGAGGGGTGAGGTGTGAAGCATGCTTTCTGAGTCTTAAAAGATACACTCTGATGTGGAAACTACAGAACCCGAACCATCAAAAAAGAAAATTAACCTTCTGCTGGTGGCATCTGACTCAGATGATGAAAGTGAACATGCGTCGGTCTGCGCTGCTTTGGATCGTTATCAAGCAGAACCCATCATCACCATGGATGCATGTCCTCTGGAATGGTGGTTGGAGATGAAGTGACATATGAATCTTTAAGAACATAAGAACGGCCGTACTGGGTCAGACCAAAGGTCCATCTAGCCCAATATCCTGTCTACCGACAGTGGCCAATGCCAGGTGCCCCAGAGGGAGTGGACCTAACAGGGTAATGATCAAGTGATCTCTCTCCTGCCATCCATCTCCATCCTCTGACAAACAAAGGCTAGGGACACCATTCCTTACCCATCCTGGCTAATAATCATTAATGGACTTAACCACCATGAATGTATCCAGTTCTCTTTTAAACGCTGTTATAGTCCTAGCCTTCACAACCTCCTCAGGTAAGGAGTTCCACAAGTTGACTGTGCGCTGCGTGAAGAACTTCTTCCTTGTATTTGTTTTAAACCTGCTGCCTATTAATTTCATTTGGTGACCCCTAGTTCTTGTATTATGGGAATAAGTAAATAACTTTTCCTTATCCACTTTCTTCACATCACTCATGATTTTATATACCTCTATCATATCCCCCCCTTAGTCTCCTCTTTTCCAAGCTGAAGAGTCCTAGCCTCTTCTTGTGCCAGTATATCTTTTTTGAGATGAGGAGACCACATCTGTACGCAGTATTCGAGATGTGGGCGTACCATCAATTTATATAAGGGCAATAATATATTCTCAGTCTTATTCTCTATCCCCTTTTTAATGATTTCTAACATCCTGTTTGATTTTTTGACCGCCTCTGCACACTGTGTGGATATCTTCAGAGAACTATCCACGTAACTCCAAGATCTTTTTCCTGACTTCTTGTACCTAAATTAGCCCCCACCATATTGTATGTATAGTTGGGGTTATTTTTTCCAATGTGCATTACTTTACATTTATCCACATTAAATTTTATTTGCCATTTTGTTGCCCAATCACTTAGTTTTGTGAGATCTTTTTGAAGTTCGTCACAGTCTGCTTTGGTCTTAACTATGTTAGCGCATCTGGTACGTAAATATCTTGCAACGCTGGCTACAACAGTGCCATGCAAACATCTGTTCTCACTTTCAGGTGACATTGTAAACAAGAAGCGGGCAGCATTATCTCCTGCAAATGTAAACAAACTTGTTTGTCTGAGTGACTGGCTGAACAAGAAGAAGGACTGAGTGGACTCGTAGGATCTAAAGTTTTACATTGTTTTATTTTTGAATGCAATTATTTTTTGTACGTAATTCCATATTTGTAAGTTCGACTTTCATGATAAAGAGATTGCATTACTGTACTTGTATGAGGTGAACTGAAAAATACTATTTCTTTTGTTTTTTACAGCACAAATATTTGTAATAAAAATAAATATAAAGTAAGCACTATATGCTTTGTATTCTGTGTTGTAATTGAAATCAATATATTTGAAAATGTAAAAAAACCATCCAAAAATATTTAAACAAAATTTATTCTATTATTGTTTAACAGAGAAATTAGTCGTGCGATTAATCGTGATTAATTTTTTTAATCGCTTGACAGCTCTAGAATTAACCCTTTGTAACCTTGAAATGTTTCACTTTTTTTTAAAATACTGTGTTTGAATCCTTGAAAAATCAGTATAGGTGCCTTTGATCATGACCTATAATTTACTTATATTGTGCTATAGGTATGCCTGGTGATTTAGGCATACAAGATGATAGGTTCCTGCCTTGAAGCTCTTTCATCTAACTGTCAGACAAAGGAAGGGGGAAGGAGATATATGCAACACAAAATATCCCAAACTAAAAACCCTCCAAAAAACAAAAATAAAAAAACCCCAAACAACTGTTCCCTCTTTCTATCCTCATTTACTTTCCTCCAGGCAAATATGCAAAGACAATATAAAGCATCTGTGAACTGGTTCCTGCACATCCTAAGAATGACCATACTGGGTCAGAGCAAAGGTATCTCATCCATCTTCACAAAATAAGAGCATACCTGAACCTTTACCAAATGCCTGAAAAAACAGATGGACCTTGTAGCATGACTGGAAAGTTAACATAATTGTGTTATTTCAGACAAGAGGGCCTCAGAATGCCCTGACAGCAACTCCCTCTCTTCTATAGCTGGGGAGCACCTGCTCAAGTGCTCTCACTGATTGCAGTTGTGGTAGTGTTGTATAGGAAGCAAGGTGATGTCTCAAACCAGCAGATCCCAGGCTATTTAGGATTTTACAGGTTAAACCCAACATTTTTAATTCACCTGGAAGCTACTTCCACACCATCAAACAAACCAGATCACAGAGCACAGGTGTTGTGTTCCCAATAAGACACTCTTCATTCTGCATCAGCTTCAGCTCCAAAAGAAACTTAATATGTAGTCCCACATAGTGTGCATTATAAAAAAGTCTAATCACAAAGCGACAAAAGCATGAATTACAGCAGTAATCTGAAAGAAAAGGTGGTACGTACCCCTCTGGGCACATGTAGATGGAAAAAAAAAAAAAAAATCAACCCAGCCAGCTGCTACTTGGTCATCTTTATGCAGCTATTGGTCCAATCAGACCCATAAATTATGAACTCTAGTCACAAATGGCAGCCACACTCCCTCAATCATGGGTGAGATACAAATCTCCAACAGATTTGATTGCCTAATCCAGCTCACCATCACTACTTTGGTTTATTCTGATCTGAATCTCAGCCAGCTTGCTTTCATCTATGCCTCAGTCTTCACCAGATACTGAGTCAGGTGTTCAATCACTCCTGCTGGGATTAGTGGAGATGGAAATAAAACTGAGTGCTATCAACATACTGAAGCACAGTAACCTATATGTCTTCACTAAACCCCCCCTAACAGCCTATATAGACATTTAATATGCATAGTAATAAGACTGAACCCTGCAGAAGCCCACATGCTTTGGAGTATGGCCTTGAAATTTAACAGGGTTCAGTCACCTTTTTGTCATGGATATGCCTTTTGCTATCCCTATGAAAATCCATCAAGATTTAGCCAAATTATAAGACTTTGAAAAAACTCTGCTCAGCTGCCAACTTCTAACAAGTTTCCCCTAAATTTTTCAAAAATTCCATCCATATTGAGAGTACTTCATGGGTCAGAAACCTTTCCCTGCAATTACTGCTCTTGGCTACTATGGGCTGGGGTGCCAGGCACCAGAACTGAAAGCAGGAAGACTGTCTCTTTTCTTTTGTGCTCTCAATGCTGCTTCTCTGCTGGCACCCATACAGCATGGAGGAAAAAGCAACCAGACCGGCAGGGGGTGTTGGTGGGGAGGGGGATTACTGCAACAAGGAGACTGGGACAGGGATCCAGGGGGTCTTTAATTACACGATCACATACAATTTTTTCCATAAGATGCCTGCCTTGGTCAGTGCACAGTATGGATGGTGATCATTGAATGAGTACTTGTGTATATTGTGTATAACTTGTGTTATTCTCATTGCACCATGCCTCATCCATTTCATGCTATTCAAACACTACTCTGAATCTATAGTCACTGTGAAGCCTAGAATATCTGTTGAGTCAATGTGAAGCGATAGAAGCAGCTAAAAGCATGGTTGAGAGCTCTTTTTGTTCAGAATGTCACCAGGTTCAGTCATCAATGGGATCTGGTGTCTTTTACTGTTAAATGTTTATGTTCTCAGCTATTTTTGGCTTTTTTACGTAAGACTATGAATTTCCCCTGTGCAACAGCATGGGCTTTCTGTTAGTACAGAATTAAGTTTCTCATGAGCTTAGTATGTGATTATGTAATTAAAGATTGCTTCATAATGCATACACACCAAGGGACTGAACTGAAGTTGCAAGAAGCCTTAATTCTGGCATTTCTTAATTTCAAGTGTTTGATTTTGCAATCTTTATGTTCTTTTAAATAGTTTGTGTGTGTGCAATATGTAGGTTGAGAACACAAGACTGAAGAAATTAAAGTGTTCCAAAGCAAATTTGTTTTGTGAAATTCCAACATGCTTCAACTTCTGCATGACCGTTTCCAAGTTAATGAATAACTAGAGGCGGAACCAAGTATTTCCAACAACACTGGCAATATGATTTAGAAAGCTGTCAGTTTAAAAAAAAAAAAAAAAAAGACAACTGATTTCAGAGATTTTTTCACGAACGCTAAAATATTGAAAGCTTCAAAAAAGATCAGCGAAGCTTTACTAAAAGAAATTAATACAGGCAAAGAATTAACTCTGAACTACAAAAAGAGCTTTCAAAATATTTCCGGTTGTTAAATCACTTACCATATGCACTACTTCAGGGTAAATGGGCTCTGTGATCACATTGCGATTATGTGTGATGTACTCTACCATTTCACTTAAAGCAGCTCGCTTTACTTCCTTCCACTTAAGGTCACTCAGTGGATCAGAAACGAAGTCAAAAAGAACACAACATTGTCGCAACTTCTGAATAAAAAGCTTTTCTTGCTCAGCAGGAGGAACATCTGAAAAATGAAAATATTTGGTTATGAACATGCCTACAAACTACGTTATTATAAAAGATTTTGTACTCCTCCCACTTTCTCTTTTTTTAAGAGACTTTGTAATAGTGTTGAAGAATACCAGCAAGCATTCTAAATCTTAAACTACCTGCAAAACACAGAGATTATGAAAATTCTTAATATCACTGGAGTCTTGTGCTCCAGTAACATTCTATGATACAGGAAGCATGAATGGCAATGCCACTGGGGTTTTGCTTGCATTTGTCGTAATTGTTGACTGAGCAGAAAAAAAAACATACATACTTGATTAAATATTTTTACCACGCACAAAATTCCAGAGCTCATCTTAGTCTTACCATAATTTTTACACTAAGAGTCATCTACTCCACAGATTTAACATGCTTGATGCATCTTTAGTTTGTGCACTTGACTAAACTTTTGCAGTTTAGTTTGGACATTCAGAAAAACTTCCTAACTGTCAGAGTAGTTAAGCACTGGAATAAATTGCCTAGGGAGGTTGTGGAATCTCCCTCATTGGAGATTTTTAAGAGCAGGTTAGACAAACACCTGTCAGGGATGGTCTAGAGATGATGCTTAGTCCTGCCTTGAGTGCAAGGGACTGGACTAGAAGATCTCAAGGTCCCTTCCAGTCCTACACTTCTATGATTCTATGAAATATTTTACATTTTTGAAGTTTTAAACTCATGAGGTGGTGTTCCTTTTAGTTTGAAAGGAATAGATTTTACACTTAACACTCCTACCTCAGGTGTCCCTTTTGTGTGGCAAGTACTACATCCTTAGATATCGTATATATATTCATCATATTTAAACAAAAACTATATTAGTGATGCATGAATTTTCTAAATAAAAATTCACCTTATGAAGGACATAAGACATTAGAGAAATGGGGTCTGAAGCTGTATAGCTCAGGATTTTCATTGAGTGGACAGAAAAAACCCCAATTACACAGTTTGAATAGTCAGAAGCTCTGCTTTGTATGTGTAGACACACATTACCAATCATTATAGTTTGACAAAATCCTGGTCCTTGACTAGGTAATGCAAATAATAATCTCTCAATTCCCAACTCCTGTGATTTACAGCACGTGCCTTGTTACATACTTTAAAACGTGCAGGAATGAAATCAATAATGCAGACACTGAAAGTGACAATATTAAGCATTAGAGTTCACATATAATACATTACATTGATAACTATATAGTCTGCGCTTTTTTTTTTCCGCCCCAACTGACAGCACCTTCCAATATACTGAACTTCCATCAGTCAAGAAAACTCAAATGCTTTGGTCAGTTTATACTCCTCCATCAGGGTTTGCAGTTTGAAGGCAATGGGATTAGTGTTCCTAAATACATTTGGTGCTTTTGAAAATCCCATCCTAAGGTGCCTAAATATGGGTTTAGGAGCCTAAATTTAGGCTCCGATTTTCGAAAATATTGGCCTGTGAGCACAAAAAACAATACATATTAACTTCATTAGTGTACTGAAAGTCTAAACTTTTCATGGTTAACACTAAAGCTCTTCCCCTCCCCCCCCCCCGAAGAGAGAAAGATTTTATACTCCCAATTTTGAAACAAAAATACAATTTTAGCCCCCTGATGCCACAAACACTTCTGCACATGCTTAGTTTTAAGTATGAATAATCTCACTGAAGTCATTGGTACAATTCAAGTGAGTAAAGTTACATACTGCTTATGCACTTGCAGGATCATGGCTTTAACTTTCAATACACATTTCCAGCCCCATCAATAACAGTATTGTAAAATTCAAATAAAACACCCCACAAGTAGCAGCATTTTAAAAGATGGTGTTTATAATTTAGTCCATTCTAGAATTTTAATCTAAAGTTGCAATAGCACAAATTTGCCAATTAGTTTTATAAAGTTTCAACTTGGTTTAAATCAGTAATTTTTCTAAAAAAAGATAAAGTGATTTAAACTGATGATGTAAATTGGTCCATACTTCTCAACACACTCTAGGAATGACACACTAATGATATTGATGGCAAACAAAACAATCTTATGTGAAGCAGTCATCAAGGAAAGATGATGCCTCACTTGTTTAAACTCTATTATACTTTTTTCTATATTTGCTGAGGCTCAGAGTCCCAACTATACAGACATATTTTGAGGATTTCTACATATTGCTACGTATTCTCCGTTACCCATTAGTTTGGTCAAATTGATACCTGTTAGGCTGTATTGTATGAACATAAAATTATCCTTTGTATTTCTTTAGATCGGTGATCTCCAAACTTTTTACATTCTGCCCCCCATTACCCATAATGTAATCTGTCTGAGCCCCCATCCCAAGACCCGGGACCTCAGCAGGGAGTGGAGCCACAGCTAGGGCTTGCAGCCAGGAGCAGGAGCCAGAGCCATGGCCAGGGCCTCAGCTGGGAGCAGAGCTGAGGCCAGAGCAGAGCTGGGTGGCAGTCTCTACCCACCCCCTATGGGGGCTGGCCTGGGGCCATCGCCAGAAGCCGAGCCATGGCCGGGGCTGGGAGCCGCACTGGAAGTGGGACCAGGAGCTGGGCCATGGTTGGTGGCCAAGGCCTGGGCAAGCAGCCGGGAGCAGGGCTGGGGCCGGAAGTGGGAGCCATGGCCAACCACAAAGCCGGGGCCTCTGCTGGGGCCAGAGCCGGAGCAGAGCTGGGGACAAAGCAGGGCTGGGTGGTGCTTCGTCCCCCACCCCTTCGGAGGCTGGCCCAGGCCCTGTCCCCCGAATGTTCCTTCCCACCCACCTAAAGGGGCACCCCCCACAGTTTGGGGACCACTGCTTTAAATTCTATTATTATTTATATTGATATTGCAACTAAGGGACTAAGGCATGGATCTGGGCGTCATAGTGCTAGACATTGTAGAACACATAGCAAACAGCCACTGCCCTGAACAATTTGCAATCTAAGTGCAAGACAAGAAACAATAGGTGGATACAGAGGTTGTACATGGTTACAGTGAGATAATACGCTTTAGACTTGAAAAAGAATCGCTATACCAAACTCATTTAGATACTAGCATCAAAAAGAGGTACAGCAGGTTAACAGAATAGGATAAGACTGCCTCTGCAAGCACTTCAATAGCTTGCTTTCAAGTCTACTAATTAACTAAATTTCTCCCCTTTTCCCACAGAAGTACTATAAAATGCTAGGACTTTTTATCACAAGCAGTAAGAGTCCCTGTGCTAATATGATCATAGTTTGTTTCAGATTTTGCTACCAATTATACATGTATGTACAACAAATACAAACTTAATAATCTGAGTATTTGACAGCATTTGCGTAATCTGGTTTGATATTTAACACGCTAGGATATTCTCCTTGTAAGTGATTGACAAATCCATCTCGGGATAGCAACAATACTGCTATTTGGAAACAAAGTATAAAATATATTTCAAATACATATTTTGTATTAAATGGCAAGCAATCATAATATCTTTAAACTTTGTATAGAGTAACTCCAAATACTTGTTCCAAAATAACCGTAAGCAACAACAGCCTTAAACAGGAGCACATCAAAGTAAACAGCATACAATAAGAAGCAAAACTCAATTACAGCTTTCATCAGTGTTGCTAGGAGATCACTGATAGCAAAAAACTCTATAACTAGAAAGTGCTAAATGACAGATGCTCATGAACAGACCAGTGCCTTTCTTATGACTACACGCAGGATTCCAGCCTAATGTTCACCAGCACTTTAAACGTGTTTAACTACACATGAAAAAACACAAAATACCAACCTTTGGTGCAATTTAATTTAATTGACAATCATTGCTTTACCCAAGGAGCTGGTATGATCAACGGACACTACTGACTAACGTGTCTTGATTTCTGGCATATGTACATCAGAAATGGAACCCATGTAAACAAGCAGGCAAAGAAGTTACAATTTCCTTAGAATTAGTCTTTAATTCAATAATTGTTTGTATATTCCTGTGATAGAGTGCTGGGCAAGAATGACTGAGCCAGCACTCTGGTCTCTGCAGATTGAATCAAACAATGCAGAATGGAGCTGGTTAAACAGAGCTGTGTCTAATTTGTGGGTGGAGGAGAGCTGGAAGGCTAATTAACCTATTAGACAAAGGCTACAAATAGGCACAGAAAAGAATTAGAGGGAGGAAGCAGAGGGAGAAGAGAGATTGCTCTTCCCTGTTTGTTGCAGGAGCAGGGGGTTCCCTAGGACAGTTAAGACAGGGGTTCTCAAACTGGGGGTTGGGACCCTTCAGGGGGTTGCGAGGTCATTACATGGAGGGGGTCATGAGCTGTCAACCTCCACCCCAAACCCCGCTTGCCTCCAGCATTTATAATGGTGTTAAATATATTAAAAAGTGTGTTTAATTTATTGGGGGGGGGGTCACACTCAGAGGCTTGCGATGTGAAAGGAGTCGCCAGTAAAAAAAGTTTGAGACCCACTGGGTTAAGAGCAGAGCTGTATATAGTATGAAGATGTTGGGAACCCACATTGTAAATAAAACTACACAAGATGTTTGACCAACACAAGGGTCTCTGAGCAGTTTGTAAACAGGAGCAGAGGCAGGAGCCAGAACAGCCCCATCACAATTCCAAACTAGCAGTATTTTATTGCCTGTATTTAAAGGTTTTGTCTGCACAAACAGTATTTCTTGAAGTTGCACTTTCCCAGTTAAATCTGATATTTCACCACTGAATGCCAGGGTTTACAGAGTCTCTGATTCAGTCCCTAACACTTATGGGTGTTCACAGTATAGAAACCCATGCAAGGCTACTGCATAAAACTATACCATACTACAGGGATCAGCAACCTTTGGCATGCGGCCTGTCAGGGAAATCCACTGGCAGGCCTGGATGGTTTGTTTACCTGCAACAGCCGCAGGTTCGTCCGATCGCAGCTCCCACTGGATGCAGTTCACCGGGGCCAAACCTGTGGACGCTGCAGGTAAACAAACCATCCCGGCCCTCCAGCGGATTTCCCTGACAGGCCGCATTACAAAGGTTGCCGATCCCTGCCA